CATGGAGAAAAGGGACTTGTACAAAGAACAGCTGCCCATAAATCTCAAAGGAAACTATTTGAAGCGTAGAGACTTTCTTCTTTCCCCTTAAATACGTTTATTTTGAAAGTCTTATTGATTTTGGTGAAACTCTGAGTTACCCCAGCTGGAAATCCAGCCCCGTCTCTAAACCTGACTGACAAAGATCATTACTGTTGGAGCTCAAGAACTCCAACTTCAAGCATTGTTGCCATTTGCTCATTCATAATCCCTCTTCCCCACATCTGACAGCTTGGGCTGCTCACAGCTCTGGGCATATATTACACTGCCAGGAGCACAGATGGGCAAGGAACAGGATTGGATTTATAGCTGCTGATCTCTTAAAAAGCTGCATAATATGAATATTTGAGCCCAATCTCTTACTAGAGGAAACTAAAACCTCAGTGGCTCAAACCCAAAAGCTACGATGAAGTGACACCTATTTGAGGCCTGTGCAAACCAATGACAAGATGTGATGGACTGGAACTTTAACAATTTGGGAATAAGGGAAGGTAAAAGCCATTCCTGAGGGCAAGGAGCTGTAGTTCTGCAAAAGCCTTCTGCAATTCCACACCTCATCTGCTGGAATGTCACCTCACAGTAAAGCAAAGTTGCCTTGTAGAAAGCAGCAAAGAAAATTCAGAGTTATCATTTGGGGTCTCCTCCTCTGTCAAGTAATTGAACTTTTGCTCAGACTGGATCATGTGTTTTTTTATTTCAGTACCTGCCAAAAAGGGTGGGTTTGGCTGCAAAGGGAAAACAGGAAATGGCTTGAAAATTAATAAAGCTTGTAGAAAACAGCTTTTATGCTTCTGACCAAATATTGCAGGGCCCACAGCTGCCCCCAGGGTACAGAAACAGGAAATTTGGCAACAGAAAGAGACAGTATCATTTGAGTTACAGGGGAGGTTTGCAAAGGATGTCATCAAATGGAATGCCTAATTTACACTTTTTGAATGTTTTTAGTGAAAAGATAGAAAGGGTAAATATGGGTTTACTTTGTGCAGACTGGAGATGTTGTAAGCTAAGATTTCCCTTGTATTGGAGATAATGGATGAGATGGTTCTGTGGAAAGACGAATTTTAGAGCATTGGAGCTGTACTATCATGGAAAATCCTGTAATAAGTCAGGCAGAACATTCAAATGTGTCCCCATGCTGTAACCTCTGACAGCTCGTGGGACTGCAGAGGGGTAATTTGAATATTCCTCCGTGCAGAGAGGAGACATTTGTGTGGCCTTTTTAGATGTGAGTATAGAGAGAGTCACCCCCGTGTGTACATGCACTGCTTTGGTCTCTATGGTGGGCTTTAAATAGAGTGTGGATGGTTGTGCTCCCATTTTACAGGTTATTTACAGGAAGTCAAAGCCCATTTGTGATCAGAGGGAACCTTGGATTGACTTCAGTGCCCCCGGGGTTCATGATTGATCCAGGGGAAAACATCATCCCACACGGCTTCGCCCCTGAGGCGGAACAGTTGGCAGGATGCAGTCACCACTTCTCTACTCCCCCAGCTCTGGTTCATTCCTCACTCTCACTGAACCAGACACAGCCCAAACCTCTCCCAAGACTCTGCAAACCACTGATATGATGAGACGGAAGGAGCCGATTATGAAACGCAAACACAAGGGCTGCGTGGACTCAAACCCCTCTCCACGCCCTCCCCCAAACCACTGGGACTGAAAACACAGACCTGCCTGGCAAGGAAAAAAAAAAAAAAAAAAAGAGTGACCCATGCACTCATATCCTGGCAATTTGTGGGAATTGTCATAACACACCCAGACCCAATTCCAGCGTCTCTGCGTGGATCTGACACTGGTGGCACGGCAGCACGGGGGCACACGGGCACATCCCTGCCAGGCACACACGTGGGATGTGCTCACCTCCTGTTCCCTGACAGACACACAGTCAAGGGCTGCTTTCAATGCAGAGGAATTGTTAAATCAGAACCTATGAATAACCTCTTGGTTTAACAGAATTACAGAGCACTGAACTGCAGTTTCATCAAACCCCCTTAATTTGGGGCAGTTCAGAGGAAAACTGCTCCCTTGTCCCCCTGGCTCCGTCCCCTCTCCCAAGGGCACGTTGGCTCTTCTGAAAGAGTTTTGTTGCTGCTTTAAATCAGCCTTAATCTCCTTACACAGCAACTGTCCCCACTGGAAGGCAAGTTCCTGTCACAGTTGTCCTTCAGGAGCAATCCCATCCCAAGATGACAGTTAGGAAGGAGCTTTTTCCCCAGCTTGTTTTGCATCTGTAGGCACATTTCTTATGCCCTTTGTTGCACTTTGACACCCTGATAGAAGCTGATGTTATTAAATTCTTCACAGTTCAAGAAATTTAGCTAAGGAGTTTTCCTTTGAAGAACAAGTCCAAACAGGAGGAACAGGCTGGTATAGGAGAAACTATTCCTTACTGGGAAAAATAATAAAAGTATCGAAAAGTGTTGGAATAGCCACTGGAATTGGGACATCTCCAATTCCTGAAAGCTCAAGAATCCCAGTTCTATACCCAGAAGACAGTACAGCTTAAAGAAAGAATTTATTTAATTCAGCAAATAGCTCTTCCTTTAGAAGGGCTTATTGCTAAACCTGAGGTAAGTTTGTTTATAGGAATAATTGTAAAAGGTCTCCAGAGTGCTTTTAAAGAAAACTGAATGAAATCCTAAAAATACCTTCTTTTTGCTCCTGTTGAAAATTTGTTAACATTAAAAAGTCACTGTTTGCACCAGTTTGTCTTACATAGTGTACTACATTCATTTGTTCTAAAAATACATACAGAATTCCAAACATTCCATTCCGATAAGGTAAAAAAATATTTCTTTCAAAATAAATTCCATTAAAACTGACATACTCCTGTAGCAAGATTTAGTTTCATATGAGGGGCATTTCCCCCAAAAATAAACATTCTCCTAAATAAATTTGAAACTGCATTATTGAGAATAATTAATCCCAGCTTTTAATATGCTGAAAGATAGTACAAGGCAATATTTATTTTACTGCTTTTCTGGAGACAATAAGTCAATATTGCCTGTTGATTCTTGGCATTGGTGTCAACTGTTTTCATCCTGCCCTCCTCTTCATCACAAAGAACACAATTATAGCACCATAATTTATAGCTAAGAAATTCCTTTGGCACCCATCAGTTTGAGAGGGAAAGAAAATCCCAGTGGAAGGTGCAGCATTTCCCACCTGCAGCCCTTTTTACATCATGTCTTACGTTCAGACTTGCTTTGGTCCTTTATAGCACCAAGTGTTGTGGGGTCTTAATGACAGCTCTGACTCATTCCCTGAGCAAAACAACCCAGCCATGGTTTAGGGGGTTGTTTTGGGGGTTTTTTTGTGTGTCTGTATTTAAAAAATAACAAAACCCCTGCCACAAGTCTCCTCTAGCAGAGGTTACCTCCTCCACAGCTGTCAGCAGAAAGGAAATAAATCCACGCTGCTGCTGCTGCTTTGTGAGCCTGAGGTCCTGGCACTGCAGGACTTGGAGGTGCAGAAGCTGAAGGAGAAGGTTCTGCCCTTCCTCACTCACTCTGTGACACACTGGTGCAGTCAGTTCACACCTGGGCACTGATTAAAACTCACCACACTCCTAAACAGAATCACAGAATCAACTGAGTTGAAAAGACCTCCGAGATCGTCAAGTCCAACCCTTGATCCAACCCCGCCGTGGTTCCCAGCCCATGGCACTGATGCCACATCCAGTCTCACCTTCAACACCTCCACGATGGTGACTCCACCCTCTCCCTGGGCAGCCCATTCCAATGGCTGAGCACTCTCTCTGTAAAGAATGTCTTCCTAATATCCAACCTAAACCTCCCCTGGCACAGCTGAAGACCCAGCCCTCTTGTCCTACTGCTGGTTCCTGGGAGAAGAGCCTGTCCCCCACCTGGCTCCCCCCTCCTGTCAGGGAGTTGCAGAGAGTGAGGAGGTCTCCCCTGAGCCTCCTTTTCTCCAGGCTGAGCCCCCCCAGCTCCCTCAGCCTCTCCTCACAGCACTTGTGCTCCAGTCCCTTCCTCAGCCTCGCTGCCCTTCTCTGGACCTGCTCCAGATATGTATAAACAGATGTAAATCAGGAAATTATTACTTGCCCAAAATGAGGGAAGATTCAGAATAGGGTTGACATAAATAATTTCTCTCCAAGTTCAGCCCCAGTTCCTGCCTAAGAACTGTTACTGGTGAGCAAAGGCCTGTCTTACAGATGTTGGTGCCATCCAGCCTTGCACACCTGCCCTGCAAGGCTGATTCCCACAAACATGGACGAGGAAAAACTAATGAGTCTTGCACAGACTCATTGTACAGCTGTACTGCTAATAATAATACATATTAAAAGGAAAAATCCTCTCTCTGAAGGGTGATATCAGCACTCTGAGACCAGCAAGCCTGTGGGCAGAGAGAAATGGTCGAGCACAGCCAGGGTGTCACTTGAGGACACGAGCTCAGAGCCTCAGACACACAGGAAAACTCAGACACTATTTACTGCAGAATTAAATAGCCTGTCCTAAAACTGTTTCAGTGTCCCTAAATGCACACTCAGTACCACACTTGCTTAGAAAAACATGGGGGCTCACTTAGAAATGAAAAAACCATCAGTTCACCGCTGGAAATAACAAGAAAAACGTCCTTAGTGTTGTTCCTTAAGTATTTTTTAAAGACAGTTTGCAGAAGGGAGGGAGCACCTCGCTCTGCCTAAATTCCCTTTCCCCACTTTGCTAAATAAAAGTCTTGTGAAAGCCACAGCAGCTCCTGTAACTTTAAACCTGGGCTGAGATCACAATTTTGGTGCTGACCAAACAGCGTGAGGAGGGCGGGCCTGGCTGCTCGTCCAGGACCACCTTGGGCTGCTCCCACCCCTGGGCTAAAGAAAATAACTCCAACTCCACTCAGTTTTCTCTAACTGTACAGTTATCAGCTGGGAAAGCCTCCCCCCTCCACGATACAGCAGCAAAAGGAATATTTGGAATACCAAAGTGTTTTCTTTGCAGTGATTTCTTTTTGGGATCTCCATTCTCCGCTGCCTCTAAATAAAAATTAATCCGAGTTTGGATCCATCTGGTCTCGGGATTAGGAAAAGCGACTCTCCAAGCAGGTCAAAGATGTTTATGAAAGTTCCATTCTTCATCCTCGTCCTAGGGAGTGTGCCCTTGGCAGCACTTGCTGAAGAAGGTAAGGAGAAACTTTGGTTACAATTCTTTCCAGCCGTTTCCTGCACTTTAACGGTTTCTGGTTTAGCTCCCAGGTTATGGAGCTGCTCTGTCCTGTTTGTGAAACTTCCTTTGGAATTCTCAAACTCCAGCTGCAATCCGGGGAGGAACACAGCAGGAGTTTTCAGATGGGCTGAGTTAGGCTCTGTTAGGAAAGAATTCTCTGTGTGTGTCTGCAAGGGAGGGAGAAGGTACAGGCAGGGAAGGCATTCCAGCCCCAGCCCTTGGAAATGAGTCCCCCTGTGACACACACAGTGCAGAGTGCAAGCAAGAGATTAGTTTAATTGACATTTAGGTGGTGTAACTCTACCAAAGTAACTTATAAATATTTCCATTCAGGAGTTTAACTTATGAGCTTAAAGACATTACAGCCACTTAGAATTTGAGCCCTGCACAGGGCTTTGCTAAGCCTGACTTAGCCATAAGCAATGTATTCAAACTAAAACAGGGAGAGTTATTACCTATTTAAAAAGTGTTATGTGCCTGCTTAGAAAAGATTAATTTGGCAAATTATTTCTTTTGAATTTTATAAAAAAGACACACTTTTAGGTAAAAGGGACATTTTCTTACAGCTAAAGGGGAAGAGTCTGATTTATTAACAATAAATCAGAATTACCCTGATCAGTGCTTGATTCCAGGAATATCACTTTGAAATTCAGACTTTCTGTGCAGTGTTTGACTCCTGATGAATGAATTGGCCACCAGGCAACGTGAAGTGCCTCTGCCATTGCCATGGAACACATTCCCAGTACCACTGCTCTAAATACATCAACCTGAAACTCAGCCCATCAGTCTTCCAAAGCATAACTATACTTGTCAGACTTGGATTTGGGGACCCAAACTGAAAAAAAAAAAAAAGACCTGATTTTGGCCTGATAATACTCAGTACCATTCTGCTGGATAGAATGGAGCTATATCAATATATACAGCATGTGTGGGTGTTGACTTGAAACTTCTAATGGAGTATGTCAGAACAGGAGGCTGAAAGTTTGGAGCTGTGCTTCAGAATTTCACAGAAAATCTAAAATCAGCACATATTAGGCAAGACACAAAAATTGTTTTCTAGGAAATTGGGGGAGATTCTAAGAATTGTTTAAGGACAGCTACCTTGTCCTTAAAAAGCATCACTATTAAATGTACCAAAGTTTAAAGCCATTAGAAATGAGGCAAAGCCACCACTATTTTATGGAAGTACCTTAAGCAGTTTCTAAGATACCAGAATTATGGGTAAGAAAGGTGTTTCATCTCCAGGTTTTTGGGGAATTTTTAAGCATATCTTCTCTCAACTCTGAGAGAAGGAGTCCAGCAATGATCAGGCTGAAACCCTACTAGTCAGAAAGAAAAATAGAGTATTTGCTGCTTGCAAGATCCCACCTGTGCTTTATAACCAGCACTGAACTCCACAGCTGGATCTGGAACATGGTTTACAGCCTTTAAGACTTTTGGGGTGTTTAGGTTTTATGACTTTTTCTTCACATGGAGCCAGTCATGCAGGACAACTTCCAGAGGATACACCCGGGAAATGGACTCCAGAGGTAAAATAAGAAAGTATTGAGTATTTAAATATGTATTACTGGTGTTTACTGACAACCATCAGCAATTATGTGTTAGAACAGACTGGAGGTGACAATGCCACCTTCACAGTCTGTGCCTGGCTGACAGGGGAAGGGAGAATGTCTGACTTGAATAGTCCCTGGGGGAGTGGGGATATCCAGATATCTGAAACTCTGGGGTGACAGTGTGGCTTTAGGGTTTTATGGGAAAAAAGTCTCCTTATCAGATTCTGATACTTCTTAACCCAATGAGGCCATAAATAAATCTGCAGCTTCCCTTTTCTTGCAACTGGGCACTCCAGGTTATGGACTGAGACTGACTCAAGAAAAGCAGCCTTGTTTCAATCAGGAAGTGTATTCCCAATTTCCAAAAGGATTATTATCATTATTATTATTATTGAATGATTAGCAGATACATTTTTGCCTTTCTGTGATGGTTTCAGCATATAAAAACTCAGGCAAGGGTTTGGATCAGACCAAATGAGTAGAAATGGAAGTTGGCCTCCACCAGCATCCAAACCAGTGATTTTCAGAGGCATTTCTTAATTCCAAACCCTCTCCTGTGGTGAAAATATCGTTGCAGAGATGGAGATTACTGCAGTGGCTGTCACATAACATGAACAAAAATTAACGTGATTGTTGACAAGATACCACATGTCACTTGAGCTGTATCAGCTGTCCACGTGCCTGATGTTACCTAGAGGCAAACACCAGATTATATCTCCTTATGCAAGTCAGGTTTATCCCAGATCATGTAACATTTGGTTTGGACTGAAAGTAAGCACATTGACAGGATAATTTGGATAACAAGTGTTTATATGAAACATTTTGAGTCCGTTTTCCAGAAGAAAGGAAATTGAAGTTTACAGTCAGCCCTGAAAGACTAAAAAGTTTTCTATGTTTTTCAAAATCATAAAAAACAGAATTGACAAAATCACCAGAAAAGTTTTTTTTGGAAGTGTCTTGATTTACCCAAACTGTTGCTGTTTCAGTGGCAAAACTATAATGAAGTCAGGCACCTCTAAACTCACCTGAAAATCAAATTCTGTAACTGCTGGCTATAAACAAAATGTACAACCAAGAGGAACAGTCACATTTGACTCAAAAGGGAACCGGTTTTCTACTAAATAAGCACCACAAAACCTTTCACCCTGCATCATGAATGATGAATGCTCTCACATGTGTCCCATATATGCCTCTTCATGATATAAATCTAACTCTACATGTCCAATACCCAAAACAATTATCACAAAAGAGGGGAAAATCATCTTGCTGAATCACTATTAGTAGGTCTGCAAATCAGTGGGTCTGGATTTTGCAGTGTCTTTGTGGAAGACCAGCAGAGAACAGACAAAATTTGCTTTCTCCTCTCTGCTGGGCAAGCAGAGGTTTGCCCATCTGTATCCCAACAGTTAATTTTTGAATCTGTAACTTTACAAACAAGGAAAACAGTCATATTTAAAGGCTTACAAGTGGACCTTTCATTACCTCAGGCTGCACAGTAAAATCTGGGAACAGAGAGGCCAGATCCTCCACTCCTGTCGTTCAGCAGTTCCCACTGAATCCGTGCATATCCCCCAGACCCAGGACTGTAAATCATCTGGGGGAAAAAAAAAAAAGGCAGTTAAAAACCTAGAGAGCATTTTACTAGATAATAAAAGGCAGTGAAGGAAGGCTGCTGGGCTCCAACAGAAGCAGGCAGTGTTTCTCCATGTGTCACTTGAGGCGAGCCACACGTGGACCACAGAAATGCCTCCTTCCTGCTGCTGGCCCGGCCGGGGCAGATGGGCTGTCTCAGTGGCACGTTTGTTTTGTTGGTTTGTTTGCTTTTTGTCTGGATGTGGTCAGGGACCGCAGGATGGAAGGCAAATGCTGCCAGGTCCTGCCCCTCCCTGCATCCCAGCCCCCTGCTGCAGCCTCTCAAGGAGCCCCCCTGCTTCGTGTGGCCCCTCAGTGGGGATCAACCCCCCAGGAAAGCACAAACTGCTGCACAGCAGTTCAGAACAAGATGTGGGATTTGGGAGTGTAGGTGTGCTGGGATGTCCTAAAGAGAAACAAATGAGGAAAAATAAGAGACAAAAGCATTATTGATTTCCAACTCCCTGCCTCAGAAGCTTGGCCAAAGGCTCTCCAAGGACAGAGAGGCTGATGCTGAGCACATCCTCGTGTTGCTTTATGACTTCCTCATGTTTTTTCCATCTTTGTTGATTACAAACACTACAACATCCAGCACAAATTGGATCAGAATAATCCTTTGTGAGGGAATAATTCAGCTGTTACACCATTTTCAGGCAAACATGTGGTCTCTTAGGAGGGCTTAAGTAGTGTAGGAGATACTGCTAAATCTGTAAAGGGGACACACTTAACTCCAAATGGACATTAAAATGGTTTTATGACTATGAAACACATCCAAATATTAGCTAGTACATGATTAATGTAGGATAAAAGTCAGACTGAACATATTTGAGTGGGTCTTGCTTGCTGCATGGCAATAAAAGGAGGTAGCCAAAAATCACTCTGTGAACAAAATTAGCACCTAAGAGTCTCCAGTTCAGTGTTTGGTGGGAGTATTTCAAACAAATAAGTTAAGGAACATGCAAAGGGTCCTGCTGGCAGATACAAGGGATTAGTAACCTTCAACAAGGCAGCTGTGAAAGGGCACGTGGTTGTAGCCTCAGAGTTCTGGGGAAGAAGTGATTCAGAGAAAAGATTAGTTTATTACTGTATTAGAGGTCATTTCTTAATTCCTCTCATCTGCATTTACACATCCCAGTATTTGCACACAGATATTTGCTTTCTGCTGCACATGTGGAAAATCTGCTGCTCCCTGACACAAAGTTTGGTACTTTCCTCCTTACGTTGGCTGAAATGCTCCTTTTTTGTCAGCCCTGCAGCGACAGCTCTGGAATCCTGCCCCTGACAGAAAGGGGCAGCAGATACTCACACCTTGACCACAACTCCAACCTCGTTGTCCCAATCAAACCCTCAAAGAAAACAATTAAACTATGAGTAAAATTGCCAAGGAGCACAGGGCAGCAAATATCAATAACAACGTGGTTTTATCCCACACTCGTGGGATAGCAAGTCTGAGGTCAGTGTGCTGAGCAGACAGGAAAGCAGAGGTTAACACAGCAACATTCTTAAAAGCATAAATTTGGAATATTCATCTCTAGTTCTGCAAGGAATATTTTAAAGGAATGTCCCATAATGGAGTTAGTCCCTTCCTAATGCCCACAGCTCTGTGGCTGATCTTACCATGCCTAAGACAAGGCTTACTAAGGTTCCACGTTTTCCCCTGGTGGTTTTGTTTCCAAGCCCTTGAAGAGCAGCTACTTCTCTATATCTGCCCAGTCCAAGTATATTTTGCTTTGCTTTTCTGTCAGTAGAACACTGTAACATCCAGAGGACA